GTCTGAGATTATGCGATTCACGTTAGATGGCATGTTTTTGTATAGATGACAAGCAAACAGAAATTTCTTGGTAATTTATAAACGAAGCGAGTTGAAATCCAAGATTTACATTGTCAGAAGTTGTATTAATTACCTGATGCAATTTGGTCGACATCAATATGGAACTTGTTTGTGAAGTTTCATCATGAAATATCCACTTCAATATAAATTTTTGGTTCTTACAATTTTGAATAACACACCAGGACTTTTGTCGTAGGTCGTGCCCAGAACAAATAAACAACTGGATGAAGCCTTGTTTATAGAACTYTCAGATTTTATTTAAATCAAGTCAATGAAAATTGCGTGGCATACATTTCTAGCTCACTGTTTTAAGGGCGTGTGCAAAAATGTTGATGTTGACACGTCGCACGTTTTTGGTCATAATGTCGGAAATAAACATCTCCAAAAGCCAGAACTTTCAATGTATTTTCTCCATCTCTCGAGCAAATAAAAACAATTATAAAGTGTAAGACTTTCGACCAAGAATTCGGATTAAGCTTCAATCGAAAGGTTTTTCTCAATTTTTCTAGAGTTCAATATGTCAGGCCCACTGGTTGAAAACTATTTCTTGAAAAACCGGGGACGTGCCCAGAACGGAAACCTACCTAAATTAAAATCTTATGTAATTCTAAAAAGAATAGAATTGTAATTTCGCCTTTGAAAATTGCGTGGATATCTCAAATCAACGTACAAAGACGTGCGAATTTTAGTAAAAATTTCCACCTTCGAGTAGAATAATTGAATCACTGCTCGTATTTATGCCGAAACAAGTTCTTAAACTCACCCTAAATTGGACTATTTTTGCACAGTTTCATCTACATACAAAACGTCTTCTTTCATTATTCATGGGAAGAGTAAAACACACTCAAATGAATACAAAAGAGAGGACACCGGCTCCTTCGCCATGTTTACTTACATCTTCAAAGTTTCCCGCCAGACACAGGTATACCKCGCGCCATGTATTCTATTTGACTCACGCATGCGCAGACAAATGTCCCTGCTGTTGGGTCCAATATTGGATCTAATTGATTTGTGGGTAATTTACAAGATGGCAGGGTGATTTAGTAAAGGGTTTAAATGAACCCCCCTACTTTAGCTAATTGAATAGCACATCGGTCAACACGGAAAGGTGCTTTTTGCTTGTAAGAACAATGAATAAGGGCTCAAAAGGTCAGTGTGTGTACAATGGAAARTGGGAGTCGAATCCAGAATACAAAGACTGGATTTGTGCTTTCAAAGCAGATAGSAAGAAGGCACGATGCAAGTGGTGTGATCGCTTGATTGATTTGTCAACCATGGGGGAAAGTGCTCTGAAATCCCATTTAAAAGGTGCAAAGTACAAGCAAAACGGCACTAGAAGTACATAACTTTTTTTGTGTCTCATAAACTATATAATTTAAAATAAATTATACTTATATTAGTCCTTGAAAATACCAAAAAAGTCTTTGAAAAGCCCTTGAAAAGTCCTGGAATTTTTTCCTTGTATTTCTGTGCAAACCATGTATAAATGGTTAAATACAATATGTGCACGAAAGACGACAAATTACACTCAGCAAGATCTAATAAACTTTTGTTGTCTTTACCACAGAAATTTAAGTTTGAGTGGAGGAGCTGATGTGTGTGCCAAAATGGTTGAACAAGATGTCATGACTCCTCTAACAACCTTCATAATCCAGGTAACTTTTAAAGTGTGTATAGGTTAAATCCTTGACAGACAAGAGATATGTTGCATAGATTCTTTATTTTCACTATATGTCTCAGAGGCCATCTTAGAGGAACTTCAACAAAGGATTTCTTATAAATATTCAGTTTTGTTCCTTCTACGTGTGTTTTAATATTCCGAGCTTTCGGACAACTTGTCCATCATCAGGGCAAAATGAAATTACAATGCGTGCGCGAGGATACAAATGTAAACAATGAAGCCTCGCGCACGCATTGTAATTTCATTTTGCCCTGATGATGGACAAGTTGTCCGAAAGCTCGGAATATTAATACAGACGTAGAAGAAACAAAACTGAATATTTATAATGAATCCTACGTACGAAAACATTTTAAAAAAGGATTTCTTATTAGTATCTATTCTTTATTCCTCCAACATGGCCACTGGTATTTTGCCTTTTGAATTTAATGGAAATGATTGAAAACAATCAATAATTATACAGCATTCTTCAGTCTTTCATGACATTTTTATTTGTTTGTTTGTTTAGTCATTAGAGAGTTTACAAAGTGATTGCGACAAACCAACTACTGATTACAAAAAACAGACTATTATTCTTGTTATTCAAGCCATCAAYTTACTGTGGAATGTATGGTAAGCAAACATATTAGAGTACACTAAAAAAAACACCAATCAGAAATACCCTTCTGGATATTGTACATGTAATGACAATGATTGTAACCCAGTTGGGCACGTAGTTGTCTTCAGCTTCATTGTTTTATTTCCTGTTAGTTCATCTTGTTTACCATAATTCTTCAAGACGAAAGTCTTTAATCTAAAATATAATGTTAATTATAGTAGTGTACTAACCAAAATTGGTTTCTGTAAACAGTGAAAGTAGTGCAATAGCCGTTGACATCTTCAACATGAAAGGGATTTTACCTTACCTTGTACAGTGCCTAGAAACAGATATTTATCCCATGTCACTAGCCATGCCAGCAGGTATCTTTTTCTCCTTGTTTACCCTTAAAAATCTTGTCTTACTCCATCCATTTCTTCATCCTTTATCTTTTCAACAGCTCAGTGCCTACATACAGTAACAGAAGACAACCCTTCAGCAGCTCAAGCTCTTTGTGGCTCCAGTAGTTTAATGAAAACAATAGAAAAAGCYTTGGTGACAGAGCCATCCACTAGTGAAGTAATGCTATTGAAAGTCCTTAGTGCTGGCATTTTGTACAATGTACGGTATTCCATTCCCATGTGTAGCTTCAATGAGCTTGTTCAGGCTGTTGTAAAGGTCCTTTCACARGTCTTGGAGATTGATTGTTTGGAAATGCTTGGTAAAATGATGCCTGAATTAGACAAGGTAAAGGGGATAAAAATGGTTCACCAAGATTCAAGCACTCAAATATCGGATCAATAATCCCAAAATATATAAGCTTGAATCTCTTATACTCTCAATGTTTCACATGACTTATGTTTGTATCAGAGACCTGCAGTCTCTTGTATGCTTGTTGATTATAATGTATCTGCGGGAACAAACTTTAATATTTTAATGTTTGAATTGATGATCATCATTATGTAACATATTTTAAGGTTGATGAAGTTCAAATGCTCCTTAACGCTCAACAACTGGCCTTRGAAATCTTGTCCAATGTTTGCTGTGCAGATGGTAAGGATTGATAACAAAATTTGTAAACACTTTTTTAAGTATTTTGTTCTCAGAATTTATTCTGTTTTAGAAGGTGGAGATGAGTCAGACTGGGAAGACATCAGCGATCTCCGTAGTGACACATCTGATGAAGGAACTGATGGAGAAGACGACATACAATCAAATGACCATGAAATGGTAAAATGAASTAGTAAATAGTAACTCAAAATGGGAATAAATCAGTGGGGTTTCTCAGCAACTTGACSAAATTTCTGGTACAAAATCATCCATTTATACTCCTTGTAGATAGCTGTTACAYCTCAAACGTATTATATGAGGAACCTCCTTTGTTGTCACATTCAAGGGGCTYACTTCTAGTGTGAAGTCCCAGGAAAGTAAGCAGTTTTGAATAGGCAAACACCACACATWAATCCAACACCACYCCATTTAATGGATTTGAATGTTATAATGTAAGATGGAGCATCAAACATGACAGATACGGAGTTTGAATGTGTTTGGCCACACAAAGAACTAGTGTGGTTACTGAACACTATTGGGTTGCCCAACTATGATGTTGTTGTTGTTTGGTACAAGCATAAGGATTTTTTTTTGTACAACCTGTATGTTTACTACACAAATAACTGTGTTGTATACAATGTTTGTCTGCAGAATACCAGCTTATCAGCTGAGATGATCAATGCCATAGTTACACAGCAAGTACCTAAAAAGGTTCTTGATAAGGCAGTGTTTGGYGATGTAAAAATTTATGAGCAATTAAACCAACACAATGATGGACAGAAGTCACTAAGAAGGTTGGTTCTCCATAATAAATACTCTACATTGTATATTTATTGATCAATGTAGGATTAGCAAGAGTGGGATGTGACTCACAACTCCACAAATCATGATTTAAGTGCTTGTCTTACTGATAGCAGTTTTTCTATGAGTACATGTATATGTAGCTTTCTACCCTGCACTGTGTGCAGTAAGGTAGATTTTGCATGAATTTATCAATAAATAGTGTTTTCCTAACAGGGACTTTTTGTCCTTATTTCATAATTGTTTATGGAGTTATCAGTGAAATATCACTATCATAAGAAATCTTCTTAAATCCCTACAAATACATTTTCTGTCATATGGTGCTGTACATAACTAACTGTGACTAAATCATTGTATTGCCTGTTAGCACAGTCTTTCACGGTCAATCCTGCTAAGAATTCCCATCAGGGTCAACTGTGGAAGAGTGTGCCAGCCATAAAATTTGTATGAAAAACTAAGTAAATAAAAACAATTATTATAGTTAAGCTCAGTATTTTCATACAGCTTCATTATGTCTCTGAATCCTGTCTTGTTTCTTCACAGTTTAAGTGTTGTCCAGATAAGAGCTTTCATATGTCTTAATAACATCACAACATCCATGGACGTCGAACTCCTTGGTGGTACAGATGCCTTGGGTCAACTATGGAGCACTTTATTTTCACTCACCTATGGCAATGAATGTGAGTCTTGACTGTATTAACCACCAAAACTTTAGGAAGCCTTCTCTTTAGAGATTCCTTTTAGAATGATTATGTTTTATCAGTGAACTCAAATCAAAAAGTCACACAATTTTTGAGAAAACTTTGTCAACTTGCAGGTTGTAAATACTTAGCTGAGAGGGAAGATTTTTTAGAGGCAGCCGCTGGTGTCATGAGATCAGTCTTGGAGAAACTATCAACAGTGAATGCACCTCAAGTAAACTATTATCTAGTCATTATAATTGTTAAAAGTATTTTAGTGTAATTTATTGTATGTCATTTGAACTCTTTGATATGTTGCCATCGTTAGGTGCGAACCAATCAAAAACGTGGACCCCTAGAATCTTATTTATAGTCTATTCAAGCAATAAACAACACAATTTCATGCATTCCTGGTGAAATTAACCATGTGTGATGTTGGGAGAACATAAAAAAGGCGTAAAAAATCTCTTGCCATTTTCGCATCTGTGCTTTCACTGGTGAAATGAACAAAAACATTTGACCAATCAGAGAGTGGGTACTATGATAGCTATAATATAATATGTTAATTATAATGATGATGATGATGTCAGATAATATTATAGTGTCAATTCTAGCTTGCTGATATTCGCTAACTGATTGATTTTTAGTACATAACTGCTGACCAGGTAACACTGCTGTGTCAGACAGCATCAACAACAAACTGTGATGCAGTCAAGGTCAAGGTTCTTAGCATTCTGGGTTACATTGGGAAAATGGCTGCCAGCCGAGATGATAGCCTCGAAGTTTTAAAGGTGAGGCTCAATTGTTAATCGTTGAAGCTGTTGTGCACTGACATCCCTTACATAGACTATCCCAGTTTAGTTGTAATTTTACAATGTTACGATTTCTGTTATATGTAGTCACTAGGCTTGGTATTGCGTGACATCATAACCAGTCAAACCAGTTTGTGGATCATCTCTGAAGCTCTTGATGCTGTATTTGATACGTTTGCTGATGGTCCGTTAGTCAACTCGGTGATGTGTTCTATTGGATTATTAACTACTTTACAGCAACTTGTACCAATTCTCAAAGCTAGGGTGAGTTTTTCTTGTGATTGTTTGTCATTTGTTCATTTTTTTTATTCCTWTTTTGATCATTTAATTTTTCAATGTATCTGTCAACGCATTCGTCTCCTTTGCAGTCTCCCCTTTTGTCGAGCTGCCAAGGATACTACTCACGCATTTGTTTGTTTGTTCATTCATTTATTTGTTTTCTTATCCATCATCTCTCTTCTCTAATCATTCGTTTATTATTATTATTTATTCGTTTCTTTTTTTCATTCTCCCATTCAGTTTCTCATTTGTTCGTACAACAGTTTATTCATATTTTCCTCTATTCGCCTTCGTTATATTGATCATTTATACCCAAAATTGTTCATATATTTTATGTTGAAATCTGTTTCTTTTTGTGTGGCCTAACATTTCACAACCCGTGATTTACAACACGTCTTACCACAACGTGTGATCGCCGTAGGCATTAACCATTATTTAATGCATTGTTTTTTGTTTGTTTTTTAGGTTAAAAGCGAAAAGCGATCATTAGGAGATCATTATCCCGTAGTCGAAGCTTCAAAAACGAACTTAACGAGATTTATCAAATACAAAAGTAAAGGCCATTGATAACAGATCCACTAGACATTTAGACGTTATCTCGACCGCACCTTCCAGACCTGGGCTTCCTGTGTTGTATCAGGTCACAGGAAGCCCAGTAATTATTACTTCGAAGAACCTTGGATAGACGAAAATATTAAAACTGTCACGAGGCCAGAAGAGACTCGATACAGCTCGGAAAACGATTTTCCATATTTTTCTCGGGTAGAATTTGAAGTGTCTCGATGTCACCCTCCCCTCCCTTCCTCCTCCCTTCCCCTCCCTGTATGTTTAATATTGAAATAAAAGACAGCATACCCATGTGTCCTTTCGGTAATTTGTTAATTCTGATATCCAATCACAGCGCAGGAAAACCACGTGATACAACCATCACCAGTAATGATCTAACGTGACTGTCTTTCGTTGGTTAATTGATATTATGCCATTTAGAAATATAAATTGAGTGGCTTGCACTACTTAAGGTCCTTAAAGACGTTTCACGTTTCCTGTTTAATTTGTCGACTAATTGAGCCTTTTATCGGGATTATAAAATCCAAAAGCAGTTTAGGTGCCAGTGAAAATTGCCCATGACTAATTATTTTCAACTTATATAGGAACACCGTTGGAAACTTGTAATGTATTTATAAGAAATATTTCCATAGTTCACGTGAAAAGATCAAAATCCTTTTTTCGTTGCCGTCGTCCACACTAATGCGTTTTTGTATCGTTAAGAATCGAAAGTATATAAACATGACAAAACGGGTACGAAACCGCAGCACAGATAGGGCGAGGCATTAAATTGCAGTATGGGTACTATATCGTGTTCGACACTCGGTACAGACCAAAATCATAGTCGATAAAAAAATATTAATATCAATTAATATTAATGATRAATTAATGATAGCAGAATATAAAGATATCAGATATCGACAGTGATTGGTCAGCTAGGAAGCTGAGTACATTATCATTCATCTTATTCAGCTCACAGTACGTTTCTTTATTCTTCTAGATTTGTTTTATTTCGTAATCAGTTAAACATTTGAACAAAATTATCAAAAACACAAGACCTTGATCATGAAATATTGCAATCCGTTCTCAATGATCAGCATGCGAATCATTGTGATTTTTCGTGAGACGACACTGACGAAGGAGAAATCCCTTTTCATGTCAACAGCATAAGATAAATTATCCATACTGGACTGACACTTATATCATTTGAATTGACGATCGAGTATACTCAAAAAACCATTGAATATATTGTATGAATATTTACGCAGGATTCTTAATATTTTTATTCCAATTGAGTGTAATTTTTGTTTATAATTTTCAGTTCCATAACAATGGTCAGTAACCCCGGAAACAAAGTGCTCCGGGAACCTTGCAAATAGTAAATTATTWAAAAAACCTAATTAGTTTCTCTTGGGCCACAGAATTTAAATCACATCTTTGCCAGTCGCTTTTGTCAATATTGTACTCTGCGTACTGAGTCATTTTCAATAATACGCCTTAGCTTATATAGGCTAGCCAACAGAACCAATCACAGTCCTGCCGAGTGGGGTTTAAAACAGCTTAACTKGCGACTGAGATGCCTCTAAGATTTCAAGCTAGTTTTGTTTTTCKCTGACATTTGTGGACATCAAATAATCTGAAAAAGATAAACYTCAATTGCCCATAACGGACGACTTAATAGCTTTGACGAAAGGGCWAAAATGACTTCATATTCAAGGTATTTCAGYGTGAATGATATTCAGAACTTAAAAGCTGAAACAAGAGGAAAAACGCTGCAAATCCCAACGCATAAAAAAGATGAACCAACAACAAGCGAGTCAAACGCAGTTGTTTACAAGAATTCGTCARCATCATATAATCAGGAATTACATTTGGAGAGCGCAAATACGGAAATCGTGGAAKTTCCATTAAAAAATGAATCTAAAATTTTGCTGCCAAAATCTGTAGATGMAGYCTGCAAGATTTCAGATGGTAGCAAAATCGMCGATAATAAAAGYAACTYAAGAGTCTGGTGTAGTTGCTTTGAACAAAAAGACACTTTATTGAACACTTRCTCACTAGAAAACACATCAAGAAGTRATCRCATTAACATTGGCGACATTAGAGCTACGGAAGATGATTTGGAAACTGAAATCAAGTGTAGAACCTGTCATTTAGAAATACGCGAGCAAGGACGCAGAAAAGAAAGAATCGTAGRACTGTGGATGGATTTTTTCGGCTCGAGACAATCGTCTCCTGGAAATCCCCAATATTGTTCGTCCAGTATTTAATGTTTTTGTATATATTGTATATAGTATCACTGATTCATAAGTGAAATATCCTTCTTTTGTTTATGAAAGACCTCGCAAATATGTTCCAATGAAAAGCAACGGCGCTGTGACAATAATAGCTAATCCATGACAAAACCAGGTGAGGTTTGGTTTACATAACAGCCTCAAAGCTTCATTTTATCACTTGTTAGTGGCAGGAAGCTGGAGCAAAGGAAAACGTTTAAAATCATCGTTATCTTTTTATCGTAAAAAGACGGCGATATAAATTCTTATTAGTGACTGACAGCAATGATGTTAATGATTATGATGACGGTGAACAACGGCGGAAATAGAATTATGGCGCAATYAAATATCGTTACAATTCCGAAATCCTGAGCACACGAATCTGATGATTATATTAAATGAAAGGTTTAGCCGTATTAATTTAGTTTTTGCACCACTTTTTGTCGTCTTCCTCGTTACTATAATTGTAATGATGCAATCACTACACATTTTATCTCTAGTGAAAGCGCAGTAATCTTAAACGTAGTTGAATAACCCTAAACGAATAAGTGTCATGTCTGCTAAGTACAAAAATCATTATATCCTGCATGCCGGCTCACTGGCAGAAATTTTAATTGTAATTCACAAGACTAGCAGTTTTGACTGGATGAGTAGAAGCGTGAAGTGATGAATATTAATTTGTTCATTGTTAAAAGAGCTTCCTTTTTTTAAAAATTAAAAACTTAATAATCCTTAAAACATCGATTTGACCAACAGTATTAAAGTTGTCGTTTTCAGTACGGTCGAAGACTATTGAAAAAATAGGCAGCCGAGGACTGCATGTGACTCAAGCCATTAAGAGATTTAGTAAACTTCGAATACACTATCTTCAGTATACAACGTTTTCTGAATTATCTGTATACGCTGMMAKGAACTGGAAGCATCACGTGGCGATCAACCATTACGTTGCCTATGAATACACAACAAGGCGGCGATTCCCAGGGGTTGGTCATTCTTCCCGTGGGGCCTGACGCGGRGCGCCCTGTTTCCCTGCATCCGTCTTAGTAAAGATTCGGAAAATGAATAGTTTATCCACGACATGGAGCTTAAATTTAGCTGAAGACATATTTCTGTATCTGTTGACTTATAAACTCATGATTAATTCTCGAAAGTTTTTTACGATACAATGATTTTATTATTTAAACTGTATTTTTACATCCATGTTTTAAAATTACTATCATTCGCCTGATTATAGTTTGGCAATAAAACCGAAAGCTTCTTAGTTTTTTTATTTCTTTATCTATTTAAGATTATTATTCATCCTCTTCAATTGATAACATTCACTGTATTTATATTCAATAATGTGTAAACTTTTATCATCAAGAACGAAAATGTAGAACGTTCTATACAGGTCTTTAATTGTGTTTCGTTGAATTCCAGGAAATATCTGGCTATTATTTGTAAACCACTGACTTACGGTAAGAATTTCAAGAGATTTGTGCCGTGGTGTTAGTATCCGAATACTAATGTCTGTCTGATATAAGAACTGTACTTACCACCTTTTCCTGTGATGATTTAGAAAACAATAACGACAATTGAACATCGAGTACATCGGTATTCGGCTGCAACAAAATTCAGTACTCAGCACCCATCCCCACCCCCATCAAAATAATAAATCCACTGAAGAATGATTATAAAAGTCTGTATCGTTTGCTAATTACCGAGCTGAGCTCTGATTGGCTCGCTGATCCCTAAGGATTTTGGTGACGTCATATATTAGCATAGAACTTCACCGAATAGACTACCCCCATTAGATATTAGATATGTATAAGTCTCTTCATAGTACAATGGTCTAAGAGGGTAGCTAAAGGTATGCTCTAGTGGGCGGCTACCCCCTCACTCCCTGGCCTTTTGGTTAAGACTATAAGTTTTATGTTCACTCGGGATAGCGTGGAAGAGCCGAAATCTCTAACCGTAACGTAAGCCGATTCGACGCCTCAGCTTCATAGAATGTCTCGGGGGAATCGTCCCATCTTTTTAGTTTTTTATTTTCATTATTTCTTATGTATTCAGGGGGGGTACATCTTCTCTTGAAGTGAAACATCTGAGTTCGAGTCGTGCTTCTAGAATTTCTCTTTTTTTGCTTGTTTTTTGTTTCTTTTTCGTTTGTTTGTTATTTTTTCTTCTTCTTTCTTTTTTTCTTTTCTCCTTTTCTATGCTGTTGTTACTTCGTTTGTTTTTCTCTAGAGATTTTCTCTTTTCAACTTAAAAATATCAAGGACTCACAAGGAACGCCTGCTACAAGTGGACGGTTCRATCACAAACACAATGACATAGTGACGAGAGGCCCCATAAGGCCTTTCGTCACAAAAGTAGGGTAGCCAATCAGAATGTGGAGGATTTTCAATTACTATTTAACAAATAGATCTCATTTTTCCGTGCGTGTGTACTCTAATAGATACACAGATGACGTTAAAATGTAGTGAGAACAAAAAAGTACGCACGAGACGCAGTCGAGTACGTGACTGTTGTTCTCACTACATTTTGACGTCATCTGTGTATCTATTAGAGTACACACGCACGGAAAAATGAGATCTATCTGTTTTATACAACAAACAATTAGTTTTGACGTAATCCGTGTATCTATACTTTGATAACACACGAAAGCCAACCAATCAAAACGTCTGATTTTACTGAAAAGTTGTATAAAGTACAGTAATGGCTTAATACGCGAGTTTTTAAATGTTTTTGTTCAATAACCTTTTCAATTTGTACTTTGATTTCTCCATGGATCGCGCACTTTCGCTAGTTACCCGTGCTTTGCTGTTTGAAGGCAATTTCAGTATAAAGAAATACTTAAACAGATCGTCATCAAGACGTCAAAAAGGTTCTGCGGATACGCGCGCGCTTCTCATTTTCCTCATTTAGTTTCTCTGTATATCCTCGATCACTCACTCACGTTGAAGAGCAAATATCATGCATTCCTATGTTGATTTTTTATTCATTCGATTCGCTTGCTTATGAAAGCAATATCCAACCGTCCATTAAATATCCATGGTCCCTCGCGGGATTGGCTAGCTATAAACTTCTTGTTGGTACGCGTAACTTAAAAACACTGTCACTACGTCAAAGTCGTATGGTAATCAACTGAGTCGCCAACGCAGCGTTGAGACTAGAACTGCTGATCGTTTCAYACGAACATCTGTMATGGAACAAGGAGAAGGTAAAATATCGATATCGAAAATACTAACCATTTCACATTTTTATACGGTTTATATTTGTCAGTATCTCGAAAATACAGAGCCTAAGAACTTGCAGGACCGCATTCGCAGCAGTACAACAGGGTACAACTCGGTTACGAGTACCATTCGACGGAACAAAACGTAGTACAATGTTTTCCTAAAAACTCGAGATAAAAGTGTTAGTCGAATACTAATGCCTGTCATGTTTTATTCTGTGCATTTATTGTCAAGATTCACCAGTTCCTAGTTGAATATTTTACTTATTTGTGCGTGTCAAAACACGGCAACTCTTTCGACTCATTTTACACAACTGCGAGCGTGCAAATGAGGAGAGATTTCAGACAGTTTTGACAMTCGGCAGTGGCTTAGACTATCTTAAAAGGTCCCCTGAATAARATGTCATTCTGTTTACTGCCTAAAACATGGATGACCATTGCGTGATTTTATTGGTCTTTTGTAACGCAACATGTTTGACTGTCGTTCTTATTTTAACCGTCGGAAGTGTCGCAAGTCCTCATCTTTCTATCAACAATTTCTACATTGTGAATTTCATTTGTTTCTTTTTTATTCATTTATTATGCGAAATGAAGTAGATATATAAACTGTCAAATTTTGGGGGAGTGTCGTGGGTTTAGCCGRAGCTGATTAAATTTCAGTCTTTTCGTCACTTCACATATTAAAATCGCTTCACGCGGAGMTATCASTGATGCAGCTGATGAGAGTTCAATATTCRTTGAGGAGTAGAGGATCGCAATCATTTATTTTATCCATCTATTCTCCATATCATTTATTCGCTTCAGAGGCGAATATTCACTGATAGACAAACYGAGAAGCATTGAATAAAATTGAACTGAAATTGTTTGTGGAAAAAAATAATATCCATAGCGACGAACGTGGTTCACAATTCTTGCCCAGTAGATTAGCACGTCAGAGCCACTGGAGACCACGTCGTTGTTATAAAAACTGGAATTCCGGAAATGTTTGAAAGGAACCATGTTTGCAGCCGCGTCTTTTATTTCTCTTTATGACTTTATTTTGATGATATTAATTAATGATGATTATAGTGTTTTTACTGGTTGTGGCATGTGATGGGGAAAATAAGCTGCTGGGTGCAGGGAATACGCTTCCCTAGCTGATCGAGACCTTATACCCTTGTATATACATGTATTCCCTTAATTTTGTATACTGTTTGTATCTGTTTCAGTTTGCAGGGGAATATATGCACCCCTTGATCCATCCCCACCCCCCTACAAAAACAACAACAACACAAACAAAACAGACAAACAAACATATCATATGCAGAGTCAACTTCATAGTGACAACAACGACAACGACAGTCACACAAATAAGAAAAAAGAACGAAAAGAAGCCTTGAAGCCTTCTTAAGGAATCGGGAATGTTTCTCTGATCYCGTTTAACTGTATTGAGGGCGTGCGATCGCGCTGGACCGTGCAAATCACTACGACACGATACAGTCGTTTTTCACGTTAAATAACTTAATATCTTTCGAAAAATATGAATCCATTCAATATGTACTGTACTCATGACTTAAAAATTGCGGCAATCAATCAGAACACGCACTGACTTTCAAATACCCGACAGTACCCTGGGWACCAGAGGTTTCGGTCCTTTGGAAATTTTAATTTACGTCTGTGTTTTAAAAAACTGTGTTTGTTTGTCGGTGAGAAAGGGTTAACCTCTAGTTCCCAGCACGGTAAGCAGCCTGGAAGAGAAACATATGGCATAAAGACACTTGAAAAAAAACTTTATTTTGTAATCGCAAGGAATTGTTGTAATGAATGTAAAGCTTCGGTTCATCAACCTCTTGCATGGTTATTGCATAACCTCAAACATTGCATAATTTCTATTTCTATCCAACAAACCAGTGGTAATTTTAACGCCTGTAACGTTTTGAAAGGATAATCTAAACTTTAACACTAACATTTTCTAATTTTCTGAGATTTTTTTTGTAAATTTCAGGGTTTTTTTCACAAATTTTGTGGGTTTTTTTGTCTGGTCTGTCTGGAGCAGTCCTAGTGTTGTTATTGAAATTACCACGAACCAATTTTCGTTCTCGTAGCATGCATTCTAATTCTAAATGAAATGTCATTATAGGTTGTCTCAAAGGAAAAAAAAAGGAAATTACAATACATGATTTTCGTTTCTTGCGAAATAGCAGTCTTGAGCAGTCCTGTACGCACGCAAGTCCGTAAGATATGCAAATTTATTCACGTAGTTCACGTGTGACGCATAACACAACCTTCATGCACTTGTCCAGTGACCTCTTCAACATATAAAAGAGAAAAAACTTTTGCGGATCGTGCCACACAGAAGGARAATCAACACGTTCAATCTGACATGAGTGGTTATCATCAATGTATGTATTCAAAGCTTTATTGTGTGAGAGTTTGTTTATAGGAAAAGTCTGGAGTGTTGAGTCGTCAGACTGGCTTTGACACATTGTTGCGCGGTAGTATTTTGCGGGCTAAAGTAAAGCTTGCTGTGAGCTTGATTAGACAAAATGGGACAGTTTAAACGATCATAAAGCTTGGAAAAAGCAGGGTTTGTTAGAAAGTTTTAAGTTCACGTCGATCACGTTTAAATTCAATGTGCCACGAAGCTTGAAATGCTCGTACAACCCTTCCGTCACTTCGCTTGTTTACAAGTGTAGATCTTGACGATAAATTATATTTTATGGCAAAATTTTACATTTATTATTATTATTATTATTATTATTATTATTATTATTATTATTATTATTATTATTATTATTATTATTATTATTATTTTGTATTTTTGGCGTGATAGGTGTAATGTATTTTTCAGTTTGTGAATTTCAAGCTTGTTTATACCCCGCTATGCATGCATTAACCTACTATATGACGAAATAGTCATCGGTTTTGGTTCGGAAAGTGATCGGCGTTTTGTGCGCGAAAATCTCTTAGGGGGAGGGAAAGTATTTTCTTTTTTCTAAATAAAAAAATTGATTTTTTAGTTGTTCTTCACTACTGTTATTGATGTAAAACGTATCTTCAAAAATTGAATAATCTTTATGTGTTAGTATAATCAAACGCTTTTTTAATGGATCTCAAAATTTTATTCTAAAAATTATAAGCTTGAGGGTACCCGGGGTAAAATGTTGTTGTTTCATTTAACCTCTGGTCTACTGAGCATGGCCCGCGCAGTCTCTCCGACGAAAACAGCGGACCAGTTTAGCTACTATGTTTTCAGGTATTACTTTGTGAAATCCAGAAATATTTGAGCGGAATATTCCTCCATCAGTCCCCAGTTTCGAGTGCTAACAAGCCATGAATTTGTCAATACTGTCGCGAACCTTTGCTCGGCGTAGTTTRCTTGTCTCCTCAACGTTTCCTCGCTTCTTCTCGGTAGCGAACGGTTCTCAGAATGGCAGCCTCAGTTCGTCAAAGGTGCTTACTGGTGGCACGATGAATCCCTTCATTAAGCAGATCGAGTATGCTGTAAGAGGAGCCATCGTCATCAGAGCATCAGAGCTGGAAAAGGAGTTAGAAAAGGTACGTTATATTGTAAATGTGTACATTGTGACAACAGATGGCTTTTGATAGATCAACTTTGATCGTGTCAGCGTGCATGACTCTTCCGTCTCAACTATGGCACAAAGCCGTCTGTAGTCCAGTCGTGTGTCATTTGGTTTCGTAGCAAGAAGAATAAATGTAAGGCTTATGTAGAAGAATAAATTTTAACAAATGCAATATAATTTTAAAACCTTATTTCGTGGATATCGAAGATCTTTGCTTTCAGAATCTTTTAGCTACAAAGATTCCAAAACTTGTTTAGAAGTCTTTTATTACACGAACTATTATAGTAAATTTGAATGATCTGTTGTTTTCATCTGTTCTCTTTGAAAAAAATTATTATAAGCTAAGGTGTCTTCATGTAAATTAGTTGTGTCAAAATTTATTAAGCACCCTTGTCACGTGACTACATCAGCTGAAACGAAGTGAAGTGAATTTGGGAATTGCTTGCATGGAGTTCACGAGAAGTTTGCTGTCTAAATCAATTGATATGTTCAGATTATGATACTTTCGTCCAACTGAACAAAATCTACCAATTTCAATGAATTCAGAGTACAAAATGTTCATAAGCTCAAGTCCAGCAATTAGATTAGAAGCAACAAAAGATCAACATCTGAACTGGGCCTTACTTTTCAAATGTCAATAAGTCCCCTTTTTATTGTGTGTAATTCCATTTTATTTGTTTAAATGGAAACTGACATTGTTAACACCACCTTATGGTCTCTTTGATATCACTGTGAATAAAAGAAATCACTATATTTTTTGTCTGCGAATATTAATTTACATTATTACACTGTAGCTTATTAGCTATTTGATATCCCAAGAAAACAACACTTTTGTTTAAAATATGTTTGTTGAATACAGTTTTGATGTTTGGTTATAGGGTGAGAAGAAGCCTTAYGAACATGTTGTCAAGGCCAACATTGGCGATGCTCATGCACTGGGCATGAAACCTTTGACATTTCCAAGACAGGTGAKCTCTAAATTMATTTTAACAGTWRTAAATCTTTGCCATTTATAATGGTATWMTAGTWATGATGRYCATTAGTTTTTTGACAGGTAACTTGYCATKTTACCCKTTTCTAATSCCTGTGGTATCCTCTTGGCCAAGCTGCAAACTTGARACCAAAATTRATAAGAAAGGCAAGACTAATCCATATCTTTATTGTACATTGTAGGTACTTTCAATTTGTGCATATCCAGAACTGCTAAATGACTCAAAATTTCCAGAGGACGCCAAAGACAGAGCAAGACGATTCCTTTATGGGACAAGGGGGTTCAGTATGGGTAGGTTGCATGGCCTCATTACTTTGATCAGATCATTGTTGATAGTGACTTCCTTAACTCATATTTTTTACTCAAATATYCTCTCTTTTTCAGGAGCATACAGTGACTCTGCTGGTGTTGAAGTCATCCGTCAAGATGTTGCTAAGTATATAGAAGAAAGAGATGGCTACCCTGCTGATATMAACAATATTTATCTCACTAGTGGTGCTAGCGAAGGGATTAGAGTAAGACATTATAATTGTKCAATGTATGAACTATTTGTAAGCAGTTAACACCACAGACATTTTAGAATTACTTCTGTCCTGAAGCAAGATATATATTTGAAATATTGTTGTTTTTCTTGTAGTCAATTTTAAAGCTTCTTCAAACCAGCGAGAATACAGGGAATGGAAGAGCAGGAGTCATGATACCTATACCACAATACCCTCTGTACTCAGCAACATTATCAGAACTGAATTCCTACCAGGTAAATCAATGATTTATTGACTGAATCAAATCTCAACTAAAAAGCACTCAATTGTCTCATACTCATATATAAATATTGCTTTTTACAAGTGTTATGTCAAATTGATCATGTTTGATTGACTTTTTGAAGATCATAAGCGAGGTCGGAAATTAATTTTTCCCAGGGTTTTTCTCACKGAATTACCTCCTTCTAAGCACCATAACTTTCCTTTGTTTCTCTATCATATTTTTGTAGATCAATTATTACTTGGATGAAGACAATAACTGGGGATTAGACATTGATGAACTGAAGAGAGCCATTGATGCTGCMMGACCTCACTGTCAACCTAGAGCRCTTTGTGTYATTAACCCTGGAAACCCTACAGGTCAGTATGGACATTAGGGTATATCACAGTGGATATCAGGGCCATTATCATGTATTGTGTGTCAATATAGTTATGATTTAATTGAATCTTTGTAGGTCAAGTWCTTTCATATGAAAATATCCAGCAAATCATCCAATTTTGTAAAGAAGAGAAGTTATTTATTTTAGCTGATGAGGTAAATATGAATAATGAAATGATTACTAACTTGTTTGATTGATTGTTGATTGATTGAGTGGTTTTTCATTACTCTATTTCCAAGGTATATCAAGCAAACATTTATGCAGAAGACGCAAAGTTCCACTCATTTAAAAAAGTACTTCGTGATATGGGACCTGAATATGAAGACATGGAGCTAGTATCCTTCCACTCCACATCAAAAGGCTTCCTTGGAGAGTAAGTACTGGTGTTAACATAATTTAAAGTTATCAATCTTTCTAGGAGCCTAAGGRATTATTATATTATACACTTTTCAGATGTGGTTTCCGAGGCGGCTATATGGAAGCTATTGGCCTAGATCCTGAAGTTAAATTCCACTTGAATAAAATGTTATCAGCCAAACTTTGTGCGTCAGTTATTGGACAGGTAGTAAAATCAGTCTTTATCTCATGTTTCAACCTTTTGTCATTGATGACATTGGCCATTGTTTATCAGGCTATGATGGGATGTCTTGTGAACCCTCCAAGACCAGGAGAAACGTCCTATGAAAACTTCATGAAAGTAAGTCTCGTTCAATGTATGCTGAGTTTGTGAGTGACTTTGTGTGATCTTTCATAGTGATATTTTGGTACAATAAGTTTTGGTGTTTTTACAGGAAAAGACAGCTGTATTAGCATCTTTCAAAGAACGAGCCAAACTTGTCCAAGAAACATTTAACAGTGTTGAAGGTTTCCATTGTAACGAAGTGATGGGTGCCATGTACTCTTTTCCTCGTTTTGAGCTTCCTCACAAGGCTATTGTAGAAGCTAAGGTGACTTGATTGACTTGTGTTCCCATTTATTCATCCATTTCAATCATCCATCCATTCATTATTGCATTCTCATCCATTCATTTCTTTATTTTTTCTTTTAGTCATCAATTTAGTGGTCTATACACATTCATCTGTTCATCCATCCATCCATTCATTATCACATTCTCTCAACCATTCATTTCTTTATTTTTTCTTTTAGTCATCAATTTAGTGGTCTATACACATTCATCTGTTCATCCATCCATCCATTCAGTATCACATTCTCTCAACCATTCATTTCTTTATTCTTTCTTTTAGTCAACCATTTAAGTAACAATGCGCTAAAGAACTAGGGAACTCTCTATTGTTCTGCGGCATAGCAAGTTCCCCATGTACGAATGTCTTGGTTTTCACACTGATTATGTATCCATCTGTGGGTAACACATTTTTGAAATAAAATGTGGATAAACTCTATTTTTGACCAAAGTTTCTTTTGTATTAAAAGCTCTTATCCAATCATCCGCACTCAAAACAATAGCCAAAAGATGCTTCTAATTTGCTATGTTCCCCACATAGAATTGCCTTAATATTAAAGCTAAAGAAAGCTTTCATGAAAGCGAAAACAGACATTAAATAAAATATTAGAAAATTCGCTAACTTGTGAAATTATAGCAGATTTTCATGTTTTAACCAATGGGATGGATGGATTATACAATGCGCAATTAGCACCTTCTTGYATTCCTDTGCCGTTTGCTTCCCTAGTTCTTACTCGGGGCATTACTTAATGGTCTATACACATTCATCTGCTCACTTTATYCATTTATTTATCTTTTCATTTATTCATCCATCTGTTTGTTTATTTGATCATTTCATCATATATTAACATTTATTCATTTTCGATAAAGTCAATAGAATATTAATTTTTGATTGACATTTCTAATACCAATAAATAACAACAATTTTTTCATTGATTTCCTGGTTGAATGAGAACTCTGAAGCTTTTACGTCATGTCCATATATGCAATGCATTGTAGGATATGTTTGGGACAAAATATGGCGTACATGTACATATCTTCTTTTTTTTTCAGAAACTGATCCCACAATAATGCTAAAGCTTCCTTGGTGAAATTATTTTCTGAAAGTTTTGACTAACAAATTGGTTTTGTTCTCRATATTTTTATTCCAGTCTCATGGTCTCCAGCCTGATGCATTCTACGCCATGGAACTGTTAGAACAGACTGGTCTTTGTGTCGTGCCYGGTAGTGGGTTTGGTCAGAGAGAAGGTACCTTCCATATAAGGTTAGTTCTGATGGATTCTATTGTCAGTTGGTTAATTTAACTATTATTTTTAGGTAATACTCCAGTTTAGAGATCTTATTTGTGCAGTCTTAACCTCGAAAGCATGTAATATATTCTTTTATTCAGCAGAGATCCTATTATATATAATGCAAAAACTATAATCCAAAGATAACCCAGAAAATTGTAAAAATAATTGTCTTGGCCAACTACCACGTCTAGCCACAAGGATCCAAAGGATTCCAAGGTGTCTTCTTTGAATGTATAAATAGAATAAATTGAAGAAAAAGCCACGCAACTTGTAACTAGGTTTTCTACTTTTATTCGAACGTTTCGGCACTTCGGACTTCTTCAGCAAACTGAAGAACTGAAGAACTGAAGAAGGCCGAAGTGCTGAAACGTTCGAATAAAAGTAGAAAACCTAGTTACAAGTTGCGTGGCTTTTTCTCCAATTTATTCTATTAATGCAAAAACTATATGTACAAAGAAGACAATAAAAATCAATGCTTGATTGAAGCTAAGCTTGCACAAAAGAGAATTCGAAACTGAGATATTTGTAGTCATATGCCTCTAACAAGGCTTTGTGCACCCTCTGTGGTAATGTAAAGTAGTACTAATTCTTTTACTAATCTTTGAAAGCAATGAATGTCTGAAAAAATTAAAATGCACAAAAGTCAATGTAATACAGCATAATGCCTTATAATGCCACCAAGATTAACGTCTTAATTGAAACATAGAATTCAATAATAAGCATTAGAATGCAAAGCTATTTTTCTACAGATTATTGCTTGATGACTCCAGAAATGTTATTTTACCATTGGACAATTGACTTCACATTCTATTGTTTATTGACCTCTTATTTGGTTTAATTTGACATAGGTTAACCATACTTCCTCCTATTGAAGAACTAAAGCCTCTTTTCGAACGCTTCAAAGCATTCCACCATAGCTTCCTTGAAAAGTATAGCTAAAGGGTCACAAAAGTCATGAGACTGAATGGTCAAATCTTGGATTGGGCTTTCTTTGGGCTGGAATCCACAGGAATCCCATGTCATGGTCAATGGGGTTGGATCTGGGAACTAAGATTTGTGCCTTCTAAGATTTYGAATAGTCTATTATGAAGTACAGAAAGGAATTCTGTGTACATTAAATTTGATAAATATTTGAACCCAAAGTCTGAATTCATATCCTTTGTATAGTTTTCGTCTACAAAAATTAGGGTTATAAAAATTACATGTAACTGAGTCRTCTGMGTCATTCTTGAATTTCATTTTGATGTGTCTGAAAAATGAAAGAGGTATTTAATTTTTATAATATATGTTCATGTCGGTTTTAGTGCAAAAAATGGTTTTATGTTATTAACTCAAAGATGATAATGTACTAATCAAGTAAAGAATTGTAAAATAGGGAGTGTGTTKGTGTGAATAAATTTATTAAGATACTTTGTAACAATGCTTGAGTTGTTATCACCACTAGTAATTCAATTAACAAGGAAAGTCTTGCTACTGACTCCTTGAAGGGATAGACATAAATCTACATTACATTAGACTAATACATAGATTACCAAGTTAGTTGACAAGGAAGTAAACAAGAGTAGAGATGTTACATCTTGAAGCAAGATATTGTAGTCGAGTCTTGTTTGTCACACATAATCAAGCTTAATTAATAAAAACAATAGAAATAAATAGTGTTTTAATTATACTGTTACATACTTTATTAGGTACATAGGTATATATGTTAGTAGGTGGAATCTATCCATGACCCCCAGACCCACCCCTCGACCCCTCTTTCCCTACCCACGGAGCTACACTAATCCCCTCCCCCCTTTTCTCAATAACACAGCACCGAGTCAAACCCTGCTTCAGCAGCTCGTTTGTTAATTTAGGTTTTATATTTTTTGGAAGATTTATGTAATTGTCCATTGTTTTCTCAGCCTGTTGTGAGATTTCGTTGTGATCGGTGCTGACGGTTCCCCTTTYCCTACTTGCTGTGAAGACAATAAGGCTTTGAATTTAATTGAAGTTGCGTTACTTTTTCATTTTTGTTTCTTATTTTTTCACTTCTTTATCCAGCTTGGGAGTTGATAATAATACAAATAGCAACCTGYAAMTRWYTSTTT